GGACACTAAGCAAATATCTTCACACATTGTATCCATGTGAGGAATAGAACTTGGGTCTTCGGCGTGACGAGCGAACGCTTTAACTTCTAGGCCACAAGTCAAAACATTGATTACACAACAGTCTCGTTTCCTGTTGACTGGGTCCCGTCCTATTGCGCAACTTAGTACAATAACCAGTCCAGAATTTTGAGACCAATTCATTTAACTGGATACATAATTATTAATCAGTATTATTTGATACATCTAGCACTTGTATATTGCAACACTACGCTCCTTCTAATCCTTGCAAACACGCCGTGCAGCGTGCTCTGTCGTACAGCGAGCTCTGACAAACGGAAACCTGGAAATCTGAAAACGAGGCTCTCCCGCTAGAAAAGTTTGGTGGTCTGGTACGGACTTCAAATTTTATCAATCACATTGTGCGACACCGAATTACACTGAATCAGCGCAGAAAACGCATAACAGGTGTAACCAGTGCCCCAGATGCATTGTGAATCATTTTACGACCTCATCAAACTGGGGCAGTCTGTGACGTCTTAGTTAAGGTCGTGCTGTCTACACCTGGCCATAAACTATACAAATACGATGTTATTAAAGTTTAAAATTAAAGTTCTTTGTAAATACCTCTTTCTTATGAAACAAGGAACTGGAATTCAGTGTAACCATAGTTGTTTGTGATGTCTATTTTCACTTAGTATTGGGATATCATAGAATATAAATGATAGTAGCAGAACCAAAATAAGCGTTGACCTCTCTAGACTCTGGGCAAACCGAAACATGAGTCTCATTAACCTATTCAGACAATGACCTACTTTTCAGCCGATCCGAATTTTCTCGTGTGAAAGTGAAAATATAGACATCACAAACAACTATGGTTACACTGAATTCCAGTTCCTTGTTTCATAAGAAAGAGGTATTTACAAAGAACTTTAATTTTAAACTTTAATAACATCGTATTTGTATAGTTTATGGCCAGGTGTAGACAGCACGACCTTAACTAAGACGTCACAGACTGCCCCAGTTTGATGAGGTCGTAAAATGATTCACAATGCATCTGGGGCACTGGTTACACCTGTTATGCATTGTTTGCGCTGATTCAGTGTAATTCGGTGTCGCACAATGTGATTGATAAAATTTGAAGTCCGTACCAGACCACCAAACTTTTCTAGCGGGAGAGCCTCGTTTTCAGATTTCCAGGTTTCCGTTTGTCAGAGCTCGCTGTACGACAGAGCACGCTGCACGACGTGTTTGCAAGGATTAGAAGGAGCGTAGTGTTGCAATATACAAGTGCTAGATGTATCAAATAATACTGATTAATAATTATGTATCCAGTTAAATGAATTGGTCTCAAAATTCTGGACTGGTTATTGTACTAAGTTGCGCAATAGGACGGGACCCAGTCAACAGGAAACGAGACTGTTGTGTAATCAATGTTTTGACTTGTGGCCTAGAAGTTAAAGCGTTCGCTCGTCACGCCGAAGACCCAAGTTCTATTCCTCACATGGATACAATGTGTGAAGATATTTGCTTAGTGTCCCCTGATATAGCTGACACATTGTTAAAGGCGGCGTAAAACCCAACTCACTCACTCGCCCGACCCGCCCTCTCATTTGGGTTAAAAACAAACCCAAACAAGCAATGTTTATTCGACAGTGATGTATTCGATACATGTATTCATAGGCAATACTACTTGTAGCATACCAACAGGTATCACACGCCAGGTGACGCCGCCATTTTACTGTATACAGTGACGGACGTCGTAAAGCAGGTATTTTATAAAAGATGAAACTGTCGTGCTGCCCATTATCTGCATTTTATTTTAGTGCCTTCTGACATAATATCACATTCAGATAAATGCTTATGGGTTGAATGTGGACAGTCAAGTTTTATTTATAATTAAATTGGAGAACGAAATAGATGTGATATCTAAACGGTTTCATTAAAAGCAATTATGTAAATTAAAGCAAAATTTTTTTTCGAGAATTATAAATATTCCAGGTGAAGGAATACACATTGTGACTGTTTAATTTGTGCGCATGACATGACATTCCCAACCAACAGGGAACGTGTAATCCCAAATATGACAAATGCTACAATTAACGGAGGGTAGCATCAAATCAGGGCCTGTCAATCACGGTAAGTGGTGGGCGAACGCCTCCACCCCTCTAGCCCCCGTCCCCCTAGCCCCTGTTGTTACAAGCCACTAATTATAGTACCTCTAACCCCTCGCGGGGCTGTTCTGTTAGCTGTGTTCACTCCACTGTAACTGGATTAACTACTAAGTATTAATTAACTCGTTAAGTCAGGTATTGGTTGTGAGGAGGTGAGTTGGTTCTGGGACCGTCATACTTAAAGAAGTTCCACATGTCCAGTGGGTATTGTCCGTTCATCGAGAATCATACTGAATTTCTGTTGACTTGACTATTTTATAAGAGCAATATATCCTACGTCAAAACTTCAAAACACCTAACCTAACGAGCGTAGTAGCAGTTAATCCAGTTACAGGGGAGTGAGTACAGCTAACTGAACAGCCAGGCGAGGGGCTAGAGGTACTACTTAGTGGCTTGTAACAACAGGGGCTAGGGGAACGGGGGCTAGAGGCACTACTTAGTGGCTTGTAACAACAGGGGCTAGGGGGACGGGGGCTAGAGGTACTACTTAGTGGCCTGTAACAACAGGGACTAGGGGGACGGGGACTAGAGGTACTACTTAGTGGCCTGTAACAACAGGGGCTAGGGGGACGGGGGCTAGAGGCACTACTTGATGGCTTGTAACAACAGGGGCTAGGGGGGGACGGGGGCTAGAGGTACTACTTAGTGGCCTGTAGCAACAGGGGCTAGGGGGACGGGGGCTAGAGGTACTACTTAGTGGCTTGTAACAACAGGGGCTAGGGGACGGGGACTAGGAGGCTTGAGGCTTGTAACAACAGGGACTAGGGGACTTAGTGGCTTGTAACAACAACAGGGGGGGGACTAGAGGCACTAGGGGACGGGGACTAGAGGCACTACTTAGTGGCTTGTAACAACAGGGGGGCTACTAGGGGGGGGACTAGAGGCACACTACTAGTGGCTTGTAACACAGGGGGGGGGACAGGGGTAGAGGCACTACTTAGTGGCTTGTAACAACAGGGGCTAGGGGACGGGGGCTAGAGGCACTACTTAGTGGCTTGTAACAACAGGGGCTAGGGGGACGGGGACTAGAGGCACTACTTAGTGGCTTGTAACAACAGGGACTAGGGGGGGGACGGGGGCTAGAGGTACTACTTAGTGGCTTGTAACAACAACAGGGGCTAGGGGACGGGGGCTAGAGGCACTACTTAGTGGCTTGTAACAACAGGGGGACGGGGACTAGAGGGGCACTAGGGGCTGGCCTGTAACAACAGGGACTAGGGGACAGGGACTAGAGGCACTACTTAGTGGCCTGTAACAACAGGGGCTAGGGGAGACGGGGACTAGAGGTACTACTTAGTGGCCTGTAACAACAGGGGCTTGTAAACTAGGGGACGGGGAGGTACTAGAGGTACTACTTAGTGGCTTGTGTAACAACAACAGGGACAACAGGGGCTAGAGGCACTACTTAGTGGCTTGTAACAACAGGGGCTAGGGGGACGGGGGCTAGAGGTACCACTTACTTGTAACAACAGTAGGCTTGTAACAACACTTAGTGGCTTGTAACAACAGGGACTAGGGGACGGGGACTAGAGGCACTACTTAGTGGCTTGTAACAACAGGGGCTAGGGGACGGGGGGGCTAGAGGCACTACTTAGTGGCTTGTAACAACAGGGGCCAGGGGACGGGGGGACTAGAGGGGCTAGAGGTACTACTTAGTGGCTTGTAACAACAGGGGCTACTTAGTGGCTTGTAACAACAGGGGGGGACTAGAGGGGCAGGGCTTGTAACAACAGGGGCTAGGGGACGGGGGCTACTACTTAGTGGCTTGTAACAACAGGGGCTAGGGGGGACGGGGGCTAGAGGTACTACTTAGTGGCTTGTAACAACAGGGGCTAGGGGACGGGGGCTAGAGGTACTACTTAGTGGCTTGTAACAACAGGGGCTAGGGGACGGGGGCTACTACTTAGTGGCTTGGGGCTAGGGGGAGGGGGCTAGAGGTACTACTTAGTGGCTTGTAACAACAGGGGCTAGGGGACTACTTAGTGGGGGGAGCTAGAGGGGGCACTACTTAGTGGCTTGTAACAACAGGGGCTAGGCGGACGGGGGCTAGAGGCACTACTTAGTGGCTTGTAACAACAGGGGCTAGGGGGACGGGGACTAGAGGCACTACTTAGTGGCTTGTAACAACAGGGGCTAGGGGGACGGGGGCTAGAGGAATGATGCCGGGCGAACGAACCGGGCCATATATGTCAGGCGGTTGAGATCGTCAGTAAGCCCCAAACAGAAGCAATGGTTTGTTCAGAGCGGGTAGACACAGTGGAAAGATGCTACGTAGGAAAAACCCTGTAACCCTGTCTAGCGAAAATATCATGCGAGTGAACATGCAGGACCTACAGGTGTGTTGTTTCGTTCCTTCCGGACTTTCGGTATCGACTGGTTGTCCCAGCGATCCTTATTATGTGTGAATATCGCTAAAATGTCCTGTGCACTAATGACACAGGTAAACAGAAAGGGAATTCCCTCGACTGTAAATGGGATTCTCCGACAGTCTGCACTCGAGTCCAACAACACGTACCCAGTTCAGCCAATGCAGGAAGTACAGTGAACACATCGAAGATTTAATTGTATTTATTAACGAACAAAAAAAAAAAAAATGAAAAATCTGGAGAAATAAACAAAATGAAAAATACAATATTGAATCATTCTAAATGAAACTGATAACAAAATATAACAAATGTCAATAAAATTCATTATAAAAGAGCATCCTTTGTACAACAAAGCTGTATATAAATTGCAAAAAATACCATTTGCGATTCGCACAACTTCATTTCAGAGGGGCGGTGGGGTAGCCACATGGGCACAATGTGTGAAGCCCATTCCTGGTGTCCCCCGCCGTGATATTGCGGGAATATTGCTAAAAGCGGCGTAAAACCAAACTCAGTCAGTCAGTCAGTCATTTCAGAAATATGGATGTTTAAGTATAACCTATTCATTTGGTAGACCCGTGAAGATCCGGGTTAGAATTGGTCTTCAGCAACCCACGTTAGGCATAAGAGGCGACTAACGGGATGGAGTGGTCAGCTCGCGGACATGTCGTACCCTACAATGCGTAGATGCTCGATTACTTACAGACCGCCATCATATAGCTGGAATATTGCTGAGTGTGTCAACAAACAAACAAACAAACAAACAAACTATATACTGGGTAAGTGACAGGACGCCAGAACTGAGATACTTTGAAGATAACAACAACATCTACCAACTACATGTACATACCTTAACAATGGAGGTACTAAGTACTTGGGCGACATAAACATTATTGGCGGGAGATCCTTAGTAAATTCGAACGAAGGATAAACATAAACCAAAAACAGAAGCAGGCATGTAGGTAAAACACGCCCACTTGTCTCCAGATTGAAAAGACGCTTTTGTCCACTATGGAGCGTACTCTGGTTCCTATGAAACAGAAACCCTGGTTCGATTCCGCACAAAGGTTAGCCCTTGTCTATGTCCCGTGTTCAATCCCCCGCATAGGTACAATGAAGGAAACCAATTTCTGGTGTCCCCCCCCCGCCGTAATATTGCTGGAATATTGCTAAAAGCGGCGTAAAACCAAGCTCGCTCATGAGAAGCAGGTGATGTATGCACACAACACAAAATAGGATCTATGAAAAGTGTTCTAAATACATGCTTATCCTCTGTCAATGACTGTTACATGCCGTTTCAGGATGCCTAAAGTGCATATATTTCTAACGTTATTAGATATTAAACTGAACGCAAATGCTTTTAGCACGGAGATTATGACTGTACTCTTTTGGATTATGATTCAAGAACATTGATTTGTATTAAATTGCAACTTAAAATATTTGTTCACTTCAAATTACACGACGATTGTAACGATTCAGAAGACATTGTTACAAGTGTGTTGTGCCTGTCTTTAGCAGCAAGTGATTCAAGCGCTAGTAAAATGCCAAGGGTTGTAACACATGGAAGAGGCAGTTTGAAGATGTCAGGATCCATTCGTGACCAATTCGTGTTATTTCGAGACAAGCAGAATAGTTTACGTTACGGAAAGGAGCAAGTGGTGACTAATAGCCTGCGTGCACTCCGTTACCACTCGTCCCGTTCCGTAAACTGCTACTAAACGTTAGTAGCTTGAATACAATTCTGTCCTTCACAGGCAATCATTGAAGCGACAGAGAAAGAGTCACGGGAGTCCATTTGGTACAATAGCAGGCTTATGATCAAAACATTTCTTATGTCATTTTATATCACTGTAACATTAATTTTAAAATATGATTTTATCGTAATAGTTGGGGTTTTTATCCATCTTAGGCAAGTCAGCAGTTCTCGTAGATGTTCCCATCTGAAAGAGAGGAATCAGTAAGCTGCTTTAAACAGTGTTTCTCTTTCAGCAGAGATGTCTCAGTACCATAGGAAATGATGCTGCATACAGACAAAATTTGGGCAAGAACTTCAACACAAAGCAATGTAGTGAGTGAGTTTAGTTTTACCCCGCACTCAGCAATATTCCAGCTATATGACGGCGGTGTGTAAATAATCGAGTCTGGACCAGACAATCCAGTGATCAACAACAGCATCCAGCATCGGCCTACGCAAATGGCATACGATGACATGTGTCAAATCCAGTCAGCGAGCCTGACCACCCGATCCCGTTAGTCGCCTCTTACGACAAACATGGGTTACTGAAGATCCATTCTAACCTGGACCTTCACGGGTCACAAATTAATGTACGTTGAGCACATACCGTAGTTCATCTAATTATTCCCAGGTCCCTAACAAGCGCCCGGGCCCAAATAAGCGCCGCGTATGTTTTGTATAAATGTATTTTCCCTTGATCCAAAAATAGATACATTAATGACTTGTCCATATACTCATAACTGCCTGTCCTCCACATGGCACGGGTTGATGGAGGTTATGTAATCGTCGAAGCTGTAATCAGGGGGGTTTCGTGTATATCAATATGTATTGGATTCGGTTTTAGAGGAATGTTTACAGACCAAAACAGCGCCGGGCCTCTAATAAGCGCCGGGAGTCCAAGTCCGTTGACAAAAAAATATTTGAGGAAATACGGTAGCTTGTTTTCCTTGTGTCTTGTGACCGAATTGTATATTTTAGGGATAAAATGGATCTCAGGATCTATACGGAAATGTCTTCACAACAGTACAATCATAAAGTGTGTTATTCATAGATTGTTTGTATTTTGTCAACTCACAACTTGTAAACATTGGCAACAGTATGAACTAAGTCGCTCTCTTATGGTAAATAGTTTAGAATTATGTATGAATTACGTATATGAAAAAGTGTATCTGGTCCTGCTAACATGTTTAAGGAAGGAGAACGGAAGGCAGGTGGTTGGGTCATCTGACTGCGTTATATAAACCACGTTGAACGATAATATTTCATGCTACCCGACTTGGTGCTCGGCTCTCGGGTAATTAATCAAGGACTGGTAGTTGCAGATTTAGAATGCCGTGTTTGGGCTGGCACTGTTCAGCCCACTGGGAATAGCACGTGCATGCACGTGGACATGTTAATTAAATACAGTTATAATAGCCATTTACGAAAAACACATAATGTCTGAAAGCACACGTAAAATCTCCAAATCATCATCGTCATCATCATCATCATCATCATCATCATCATCATCATCATCATCATCATCATCATCATTATGGTCATCATCGTCATCATCATCATCATCATCATCATTATGGTCATCATCATCATCATCATCATCATCATCATTATGGTCATCATCACCATCATCATCATCATCGGTTGTAATAAATACAGTTAACCACCCTGCAGATAATCCCTGTCAGTAGTTTGTTGTTCTAATACCTGTCCATTGTACAGAGTTAGAATTACCCACATACCGTTATGTCTCTTGCCTTTCTGCCCCTTCACTGGTTTGGGTTTTACTGCAGGCTTTACGTTTTGATAAACCCGTTCTTGAACAGTTGCTGTAAAGTGAATAATGACACAACCATTGTGCAACATTCCAGGAACATTCCAGCTGGGAACAATAGAAATATGTTGTATTTTGCACACAAATTACCCTCATTAGTAATCAGTCCCCACCTTGCCGCAGAATATTTGCCTGAGCCGTTGTCATGTTTTGTTGATGAAACAGGAAGACCAGCTTGATGGGTATCAATTATACCTGATTTACTAAATAAGTATAACTTAATTTAGCATAAGAGCAGCATTAAATACTACAATGGATTTGTAGTACGTTTTACTCATACACATACACTTACTCACATAAGTGAGATATTTGTTTATTTGGTGTTTGAAGCCGCACCAGGCAATATTCCACCTAAATGTCGGAGGTCTGAAAATAATCGAGCCTGGACCAGACAATCCATGATCAACATCATGAACATCGATCTACTCAACTGCGACACGATGACATGTGTCAAACCCAGTCAGCAAGCCTGACCACCCGATCCCGTTAGTCGCCTCTTACGACAAGCACAGATCAAATCTAACCCGGATCTTCACGGCTATTGATGGTTTTGTTGCAAACCAACGTAACCTCTAACTGCGACTGAGGATCTGTTCTTGGGTGAGTGGGTACATTTACATTTATCCTAAAAAAACGTGTTCCATAGGAGATATTGCTTGTGTGAGATCAAACGATATCTCCCAGGAGATATTGTTTTGACAGATTTTGTACAAAGACCTGGCAATGCTATGACGTCATGACTTGGATGACGTCACAATGCTATGACATCGCTGCACTGCAAATCTATTGGCAGTACAGTGTTCAGAGATTTGCTTTTTTAATTGAAAACTAACGAAGAGTGATTTTTGATGATAAATAGAATCTCACCCTCATGTCTTCTGATATAAAATATATCAACACTCGTTGATAAAAGTATTTGTAACTTTATCAACTCGTGGTGAGATTCTCTATCTCTTTATCTCTGTCACCGTTATCTGGTGCTTCAAGCCCATGATATGTTTTGGCACGTATGGTTTGCTGAAGACCAATCTTCACGGGGTTGCTATCCCCTTTTCTCATCCCAACATTCCCTCCAGCCTAATACAACGTTCTGGCTGACCTACCTGGGCTGTTCTGGAACATGATAGTGTCATAGGCTGCCTGCACAGTCCCGGGCCGGTGCGTCAGACCGCTGTAAACATTCTCAGGGGCTTCATCTGGAAACACACATGCAGAGTATATAGACCACCATGGCATTTACATATCATTTAGGAAACTATAACTATTTCTGGAACAGACATAAGACATAGATAAACAACACCCAGTTGGGTCGGATCCAGAGGGTGAGTATTTCCCGAAACTATTTTCTTTGAGGAGCATTTCCCCCTAACTTTAGGACTTCGTGATTTATGTGCAACCCCCTACCACCCTCCTCCTGCTTCTCCCAAATCCTTGATCCGCCCCAGGCCACCGAATATGTGCTTTGTCAGCATTAAAAAGACACTTCTTCAAGTTTGTGGGTTTAAAACGTCTGTTCGCATTATTTCACAAAATTACCAAATATTACATTTTACGAAATGTTGCAGAAAAGAGGTGATGACATCATCACATTTGAAAACGGCACTCTCAGCTTTCAAGTATATGATTATCAAACTCGGTAGAGTTTCTTTTTATCAACAATTTGCTCTCTGAAAGAATAGTTCGGCTTGTTTCTGTATCTAATATATAATGTTAGTATTACACTGAAATGATGGAATTAACATGGAAACAATTACTTCTGTAGTTTCACAAAACAAGGACACGGTTACCTTTATCCGGCGGCGGAGACGTGTCTTCATCACTGGAAGAAGAAGTAAATGAATTAGTAGCTGAAACACGACCCTAGAAGTTATTGCTAGTGAGAAAATCTGTGCTTCTTCTGAACAGTAAAGAACAATAAAGAGTGTTTAGTTTTAACGCCGCACTGGATAACAATTCACTCACACCAAGGCATGTTATCTGAATTCGGAGCTGACCTGAGATAACGCAGGTCTTGGACAATTACCACGCTTCTGAAACTGATTGGTACGGTTGTGGTTTTGCTTAACCAGAAACAAAGATGCGTACGAACGATTCTTTGTTTCTGCTTAGGACATAACGTAGCTCGTTGCCATATCTTTGATAACAAGGCCAGAAACGTCATGGGTCATTCGGTATTCAAGTTATATAGGTAGCATTTTCTCACAACAGGAGCCTTACCTAACCCCCTATCTTTACTCAATCACAATAACCCTAGTTCGATCTCTACAATGTTTGCTGACATACGGGGTAGTTCTAGATTCTAAGCTATGATCATACTTAGTAATCGGGTACACCCAACTCTGTTTAGGGCGCTTCTTCGATATGTAAAATGGTAGCCACCTGGTGTCGGATCTTTTGAACCCGTCTATCTCGTTCATTGTTGTCAATCATATGAACTTTGTCATTACCAGACGTTTGTTTGTTTGTTTGTTGTTGTTTACGTAGCACTCCCACTACATTCTCCACAGACAAATCAGTGATTGATATCATGATTTTGGGCTGTTAACTTCCTACCACAAAGCATGTAGATGTCGGGCAACAATTTCCGCTTTAATTATCCGTAACATATATAATCAGATATTTCCAGTTGGCTACAAAATGTCCTCGTCCAACCTCTTCCCTTAAAATTGTGAACATACCTGGACGACCTCGCCTTTAGGGGATTCGGACATGCTGTAAAAGATGTGTACACACTTTAAGCTTATGAGAACATCTTCCCTAGACAAATGGCGCCGAAATAATTCAGACAATTTCGACAATGAAACCTCATCGATCTGGAAAGCCTCGCCATGCCCTTGGAAACATTAACTAAGGTAATATTACTTTATTACGATGACTCAAGTATCTGGAATTTATTCAATCCGGACAGCCACTGGGAACAGCATCTTTAATATTATCAAGTGTGGAATTTTGTAAAACAAACATACATTCTCTCGAGAATGATAAATACAACTCTTCAATTTTCGCACATTTTTCAATTTACTCTGGAAGTTAAAACGTTGTGGATCCAGTAAACTTCATATTTTCCTATCGGGAAAAATACATTTAACCATATATGGTCTCTGATCTAACACAAATCCCAGTTCCCCTACCGAGACTATTACACAGATGATCCTGACTGTATTCATGACAAAGCTGCGACACTTACAGATGCTTGGGATGTGGGCACGGAACTTGTACACTAGGATTGGGGCACCCACGAGCAGCGCCAGTCCAATACACACAGCAATACCGACCCCAACTCCTGGACCAAGGCCTCCAGCATCTGGAATATAGTGTAGCATGCATGTTTATCTCCGCTACCTCTTGTACATGTCAGCCGTCATCGTGCGTGCATGCTTGCGTGCATGACGAACAATATACGTAACAAAAGCGATGCTGATTCAGAACGAGGACAGCATCATGTGCAATTTACGACGGGACATTTTGTGCACATACGGACGGGCACACGCACACGCACACGCACACGCACACGCACACGCACACATGCATGCAGAGTGAACCAACCTGGTATGCATACAGTAATCCATGCATGAAAATGTATATCTCGAGAATATCACAAGATAAAACACATTTTCTACACAAATGTTTGACATCATAGATACATATGTTGGGTATGCTACATCTGTGATGGTGTGGGGTCTTGTGCGTAGAGCACAGGTCACGAATCAGTTGAAGTTAAGCAACGTTGAGCGCGGAGAGTCCTTGAATGGGTGACAGTGTGTGACAGCTTGACTCCTGCGAGTTTCTAGGACTTCAGTGCTCCCACAACGAAGCACATATGTGATACTTATGGTCTCGCCTGTCAGTCAGTGAGTTTGTTCAAAATTACCTCTGTTCACCCAGCAGAAAATGGGTACCTGGTGGGATAAGTCATGTGACTATAATCTTCTAGCGCCTGACAGGCAACGTGGGTTATTCGGGGTAATAATGATCAGATTGTGCGCTTTGACAGGATAACTAGCCTGGAAAAGGCACGTTATAAATATTCTCATTATTGTTATAGGGCAAGCGATTGATATGGTCCCATGTCCAGCTGAGGGAAGAAGCTTTGCAAATCTAGGTGCTACTTCTACTCTGGATACAACTGTAAAACGTGAGGTGGTGAAAATAGGGCCTAGCAAGTCAACCGCAGAACATATTAATCTGGTGATAATGATGCCTGTTTTGTACGCATGTCACCTTCACGGTCAGCAAGACAGTATTGTGCCTTCACTGAGATCATGGACGAGGACAGGGAAGTCGCGGCGATGTTGCCAATTTACCGACATTTATTCAATTATATATTATTAATTGTTTTGTACTTGTGAATGATTCAGAATGATACTGGACAAAACGACACAACATATTTGTGTGTATCTAATATAAATAATTTTATATATAAAATTAATAACATTGATTGAAAGTAGTCGTCAACCAACGTGCTGAGGGACCGGTCATTATGTACTCTGGTGTTGGAATGTTATAAACATATTTTGAAACATAAATGTACGAATATAGTTAAATGGAAAAAATGCATATTTTGAAGTGTTTACCAAGAATAATACCTAATAATGATGATAATAGTCTATTTGTACTGCGCATTTCTCCATGCACAATGCAAGCTCGAAGCGCCCAAACAATCTGTGTATTACTATACCCCAGATAACCCAAGCTGTGCTAGAAGGTTATAGTCACATGACTTATCCCACCGGGTACCCATTTTTGCTTGGTGAACAGAGGCAATTTTGAACAAACTCACTTGCCTAAGGTGAGGCCACATGTATCACATGTGCTTCTTACCTACCTATGGTTTTCTGATAAATTTCCTGAGTTTCTGGACCCATGTTGTTGCTCCGCCGGTTGTTCCGTGACTGTACTTTAAAGGCGTACTCCGTGTCCGGCTCCAGACCCACCACCCTCCTGATGATGTTGGTGCCAGTACCCTGAGGTACCGGCTCGCTGGTCCAGTTACCCTCGGGACTCACACGGTAGTGGAGCAGGAAGCTCTGGGTGAAGTTACCCCCTGGGAAGTTGGGTTTCCATTTTAACCACACGGATTCGCTGGACGAGTTAATGGCGGAAAACTCCAAAGGAACCAAGGGGGGTCCTGGAAGTGGAAATGTATAACGCCAATGGGGGAAAATACCCATCTTGAACATACTCAAAAACAGATGTTATTTGGAGTAAAGGGCAATCAGAATGGGCCACTGAAAATCTGATGATTCAGGTGCGAGACATTTTGTCAGGCTGTTGTGGACATTGTGGCTCCACGTGTCCCGTCAGGACGTGTCAGATCCTTAGAGGCGTGGTCCATACATGTCCCAGCGAATGAGTGAAACAATTAGGAATAGTGATTGAGGGAGTGTGGCTTTACCCCGCTTAGCAATATTGCAGTAATATCAGAATACGATGTATCAATGTAGGGAATTGAACCCTGATCATCAGCGTGGCAAAACAATACCACAGAGCTACTGCCCTATTGATTTCCCAAATTAGTAATATTCAAGGTGAGCCTGACATAGAGGTCCAAAGATATTGATGTTACTTTCTGATAATAGCACTGCATGAATGGAATTAACGTATGCCTTTGTGTTATATGTTAGAAGCCTTGAATAATAAATACACTCAGTCAATTATTTGAGAAAGAATTCTCACAATAGTTTACCTGCTATGTGTTCTTTATTATGCTAAATAATGACATGATTTAAACATTTGATAGACCACAGTACCTGATGCAGATAGACTCAGCGATGTGTTTCTGCAGTCAATGGAGTTGCATGCCGTGATTGTATATGTTCCTAGCTGACTCGGCTTAACGTTCGTTAGTGGAATCTGGACCTGGTATCCCATATCGTGGACAATGCGTCCATGTACAGTCATCGCAACAGAGGTGGAGGTCAATGTGTGAGCTGGGTAGGTCAGGGCTTGGTTACCAAAATACCTCCTGATGGCTGTAACATTGGGCTTGCTGAACAGGCTCCAGGACAAGGTGACATTGGCACCAATTGCCAGTGAGTGGGAATCATATTTCACAAACACTGGCGCCGCTGGAAGTAGTAAGGGCAAATGAAATATGTAAGTCGGGATTCATTACAATAATTCTCTGAACAATAGTTCCGGTATAGTAAGGCGTGTCTGTCAAAAGTAGGAGTGGTACTTTTTCACTTTGTCACAGCCACTAGCACAGGTATGGTGCGGACTTAGCAGGATTCAGAGTCGGGGCGATTTAGGTGTTGTGTTACAAAATGCTCACGTTAGTCAGAAAGGGGTTGATGCAGCTGATGGAGATAATGCATTAAAGTTAGGATAGGGGATTCTGCATACAATATAAAATGTGACAACCTAGTACATATACCTCAGACTACCTAACCAGCCTTGTCTGTCGGAGTCATGAAACCAGCACTTACCTTTGACCATGACAGCTACACGTTTCCTTTGAGTAGAACGTATGCCGTTGGTTACAGAACATTCATATTCCCCGGAGTCTCTGTAGGTGACGCTTGCTCTCTGTAGGGTATATTTAGGTCCAGCTTGAGTCCCTTCGTAGCTGTTGACCCATGTTGTGCCCCAGTACTGCTTGTAGGGAGAGAAGGTGTAGGTGGCCGGTTGTCCTGAAGCACTGCATTCCAAAGTGAGAGTCTGGCCTTCTGTTAGCGTCACTCCTCTCATTGATATGTCAGGAGGGTCTGAGACAAAGAAGGCAGTCTTTCAGTATGTTACCTCAGCTGAGGAATGCTATACCATTTGTCTCATAACAATGTGATTCGGGACATATGTGTGTTTCTTCAGCGCCCCCAGACATTATTGCTCCTTCCCTGTAATGACCCACAACGGTGTTGTGATCCACGCATCACTTGCACAACATTCACCCAGTAATAAATGGTCAAGTTATATGGGCCCAACTGATAAACATGTAAACTAGGAGACTTTGTGGTCTTTCGCAAGGGACATGTCAATCGTATTTCCAAGTTATGAGTATTTTCCTTGTATCCATGAGTTAGCCGGATGTAATATCGCTTCGTCTGACCAATCACGCTTCAGAATCGGTTTAATCTAAATGTATGTAGTGGCACACAACTACCCTTCCACACATAAAACGGCGAAACAGAGGGCGAAGATATAAACCCAGGCTAAATGAAAATATGAAGGTTAAGAAAATATGAAAAGTTACACTACAAAGATTATGATAACTCAGGTACATAAGCTGCTCATATTATTGTGAGTGGAAATGTCAGCAATTTCTTTTCAAAAAATAATTTCATGACATTTTACTCATACAGTTTACTGTGACTGTAGCTGTGGCGTTTCCCTCCAGTGTACCGTATCCATTCACATTCACTCCCGCTGTGCACGTGTATACGCCCTGACTCGTCCGACTCAGGTTAGCCTGGTTGTAGTTTCTGGTGTATGCCACGATGCCAGAGTTAAAGGTCCAGGTGTAGGAATGTGCTGTAGGGTTGCTGTCAGCAGAGCAGGTGAGAGAAAGCGTATCACCTTCGATCTTTGTAATTGCACGGGTAACTGTCACCCGAGGCCTGTCTGTAAAGTAACCAAAAGTCAAGATAAAATAATTATTGGTTCACGTTTTCATGGCTATGGCCCGTGTTCATTTCAGGCTGTAATGGTTCCAAGTACTTATTCTAAAATCCGAACTAGGGTAGTCAAAATGGGTGCCACTCGGCGGCGTGATTACCTGTTCATGATGTTATCATCATATTGTATGGGTTGTGTACCTCACCTTGTGTGAGTGAGTTAGTTGTACGCCCCTTTTAGCACTATTCTGGCAATATATATATATATATATATATATACGGGGACACCAGAAATGGGCTTCACACATTGTACCCAGTGACCAGTGAACAACATAGGTATAAAACGCATGTGTGTAATGACATATATAGAATACATGTATGCAATTACACTTACAATAAACATTTAGTGTTTTAGATTGTGACATCATCAGCTGGGATGTTATGTTCGTGTGCTTGTTCTCTGCCAAACACTGAATCTTTACTCCATTGTCCGGTTTTGTGGCAGTAAATGTCCAGGTCGACCCCTGATGCTGATCAAAGACTTCTCCCTTCTTCCACTTGTAGATGCATGCAGGGTTGCCATGGTTACTGGATACGCAGGTAAGAGTTACACCCTCCCCTTCAAGGATATTGAGTGGGGAAACGTTCAATGTTGGTCTGGATGGAGAATCTGTAAATGGGATATATACCTGCATAATTATACTGACATGTGTACACTTGGCCAGCATATGTATCCACGCCTCTGTCCGTCTGTCTATCTGTCTGTCTGTCTATATGTTTCTCTCTCTCTCTCCCTCTCTCTCTCTCTCTCTCTCTCTCTCTCTCTCTCTCTCTCTCTCTCTCTCTCTCTCTCTCTCTCTCTCTCTCTCTCTCTCTCTCTCTCTCTCTCTCTCTCTCTCTCTCTCTCTCTCACACACACACACACACATTTTAGTACAGAATCGAAAAATTGGATATTGGATATTGTACAAATAGGCTGTGCTGTGTTTGAAACTTCTGGTGTTTATATTATAATCGAGTGAATACCCAACACAAATCACATTACAGTACGAGACACAGCCAGAGGTCCTGTTTTTTCTGAGTTCACCATATCTTGTAGTTTAGTTACGTAGATTGCAGCGGTGTCTCGGGACCAAAATACTTACAGACAACGTCGAGTTTCGCGTTTTGGGAGGACACGGACGATAGACCGTTGTTAGCTGTACAAGAAAACAGATCATTATTATTAGCAGGAGTCACTTCGTACGTCAGTGTACTGACAGTTTTTTTCTTCACGGAGCTCCCTTCCTGTCGCTGGGAGCTTTGTGACGTCACTTCCGTGCGGTCCTTGTACCAGCTCACACTGGCTGTTGGAAAGCTATCCGAAGTCTCGCAAACAAGAACAAGACTTGAGCCATCCGATGTTTGTATGGTTTCGTTACTACGCGTGATGTTGACGAGAGTGACCGATGTTACTGCACCTGAAATGATATTTCATTACACCTTTTTTAGTACGAGGTTCGGCAGAGATTCCCAACATGATTATGTGTGTCACTGTTAACCATATCGCGTCTTATCGTAAAATGGTCGGCGCTTCTATGTACAAGAATCAGGGTCTGTCAGAACACTGTAATGGATATTTCAAATAAGGAACAGACCTCCTATAACTGACTGACTGACTGAGTTTGGTTTTACGCCGCTATTAGCAATATTCCAGCAACATCACGGCGGGGGACACCAGAAATGGGCTTCACACATTGTGCCCATGTGGGGATTCGAACCCGGGTCTTCGGCGTGAAGAGCCAACGCTTTAACCCTTAGGCTTCCCCACCGCCCCCGACCTCCTATAAAGTAAGAAATACTCCTGCGTTTGAATTATATCAAATTTATTGCTCTGGCATGACCTGTTTTACATCATTGATTATAACTGTAAAGGGGAGACAACTCAGACTGTCCAATGTACGACAAAGCTGCAACAACCGGTAGCTATGTAAGGGACAGGCCACGAGCACTACATTTTATGAGAATAATTCACCCTCAGTGTTATGTGAACAGGCAAACAGACCTGACTGAATTTCAACATGCCCTTAACCGGAACAGGGTGGCCTGGTCGTCTAAAGTTGTCGACACCAAAATAGTCACTGTAATTGTTTTGTTTTTGTTGTTGTTGTTTACTGCTGCACTCAGCAATATTCCAGCTATATGGCGTCGGTCTGTAAATAATCGAATCTGGACCAAACAATCCAGTGATCGAGCATCGATCTACGCAACTGGAATATGTGAACATTAGTCAACCAAATCAGCAAACCTGACCACCCAGTCGCCTCTTACGACAAACATGGGTTACTGAAAAACAATTCTAACCCGGATGTCCATGCGTATAGTTACCTTGCACTACCATTGGGTTTCGCCTTAAAGAATGAGTGAGTGATAGACTTTGATAGCGTTTAAACGTAAACGTTTCCCCAGCAGTATTTCAGCTACAACACGGTATGACAGCTTGAAGTAGTGGGTACACCAGATGTATTCTTGGACTCATAACACTTTGGTTTGCTACTCGGGTATGAAAGTGACTGTTTTGAACGAGAAAATATGTTCAGGACGAAAAGATTTCGAACTTAGTTCTATTGGGGCCTTATTGCAGTGGTATAAATAGGGAACAGGGTGCCTTTCCACCAGCCGATCTTAGCCCTACGCCAATCCTACACCCCTAAAGTCCCAATCTTAGCGTGACGTTACGATCGGCATACCGTTCCACTAACCAATCTTACCCAAGTCAATCGTAAAGTTAAGATTCAAAGTCTAAGTTGCGCATGACCAACTTAGGATAGCTAAAATCAATCGTAGAGAAACCAAAATGCTGGCTTTCATATTCTATGTGAAAAATAAGAGCGAGCATTTAAGCGTGAGCGTCCCCTAAAATCCCCCATGAAATGAAATTGTATATTTCTGTGGTGTAAACAAACGCTGCACTGAAGCCTTACAAATGTCAGGCCAGTCTGACCACTGTCGTCATGGGAACACAACCGAGCGAGTCGGTGTAACACATTTGTACAACAATATTGCAACGTCATGGTTAAGAATATGGACAGCCGTGAAGTGAACAATGTTCTGAAGCAAAAACATACAAATATGTTTCATTTCACTGCGCATATTTGGTGGGGGATTCTAGGGGCAGGCCGCGTGTTATTCAAGACAACTGACAGATTCTACATACGTTATAGCCTTCTCACGGCTTGTGTATTCTGATTGACAAGGTTCAGGCATATTAAAAGCTCTGACACAATTGACATTTTTAAAGTTCAGACCTAAAACCAGTTCTCAGTATATTACTTATAATCTTGGCTGTAAATACTCTCGTGTAAATTATCTGTACATAGCGCTTTGAGCATGCCCCAGGGTGTGGAATAGGCGCACTATAAATATGCATTTATTATTATTATTATGCCTGATACCCAGCGTTCACACACACTTGCACCTGAAACCAAGGTGCTCACTACCCTAATATGTTGCTCTAGGTTTTATCTCCACGTTTACACTTGGTTGGAAAAATACCCATGAAGGCCCGGGTTAGAATATTGAACTTCAATTACACATGCTTGTTGTAAGAGGCCACTAACGGGATCGGGTGGCCAGGCTCGCTGACTTGGTTGACAAATATGTCATCGATTCCCAAAAGCGCAGATCGATGCTCATGCTGTTGACCACTGTATTGTCTGGTCCAGACTCGATTATTTATAGCTAAGATACATAGCGTTCACTAACATGAACGCTCATGTTAGTGAATGCTATGCATCTTAGCTAGATTATTTACAGACCGCCGCCATTTAGCTGGGCCTAGATTTTCGAAGCTCAATGTTAATGTATGGCACTTACGACTATCTTAGCGCTAAGATAGCTTCGAACATCTAGGCCCTGGGCTATTGCTGAGTGCGGCGTAAATTAGCTGAACGGGTGTAACTTTTAGCTAAGACGAGTGTAAAATTGGCGTAACTTGCTAAGATTGATCTTAGATAAGATCGGTTAGTGGAACGGCACCCTGCTCGTGATTTCGTAGAGTTTGTCGTACCTGGAAATTGAACTGGACCAAAGTCTTTAGTCTCGGTGTAAGCTTTAGCTGGGTTGAATGAGTCATGCTCAACAGATACCCGGAGCGTGACCAACTTGTCCTGCATGGCCGAATTGTTGCCCACCACGGTGACATTGCTCACCGTAAGCGTGTTGGAACCTTCACACGGGGTGTTGGTGTAAGTGGAAGTTAGAGACGCCCCTATGCTCTACAATAGTCCATCAGAGAGTTGAGTATGTGTATTTTTTTCCAATAACAATGAATACACAATGCCTTTTAGAAAGTGGTTAAATGTTATTTTTGAAATTACACTTTCTCATGGGTAGGAAGTGACTAGTAGTCGAAAGCCTCCTGTTTCACTTTTCAGGTCATGTATCTTCATCAAAGCGAAGTATGCAGGAGGTGGTTCTTTTCCTCATGCTGTGTTTACGCATATCGTTATTCGCTGCTATTATTCTACTCTTATCTTGCGAATAAATCCTTTGCAGTCAGCGATACTGTCATTGCTAAATTAAAATTTTTGAGACAGTCAACATGACCTCAGTAGTCCTTGTTGCCTCGACAGCCTGTAATTATTCAGTTGTAATCAACCTCGCACACAAGCGGATGAGCAAATGGACAACGGTCCACCACATGGGGCACAGCGACACGCACTCAGCCACTTCTTGCATCATCCGATTCACTTTATGCCTCTTACAATAGACAATATAACGCAGTGTTCTGGTTTCTACTCACCCCATTTAATACGTACATCCAGGATACATTGGCTTGTCCCTTCACACAGGGGGCGTTGAGGACAATGGTCAAGGTACTTGTTGGTGTGAGACTTCGGGGGATATCACTTCGTGTCGGGTTTGTGGTGACGCTTGACCATTGCAATAGTCCTGGCAACAAAAAGTATAACAAAATCCAATGACAATTTGGAGCTAAAGAATGCAGTACTTCGACTGAAAATGGTGAATGTGTTGTTAAATATTTCATGAAGAAGTATTAGACAAAACGCTGGTTTAGCGCCTGAAGAAGGGGCAAGGAAAAGCCCTAAACGTTGTGTCTACAATAACAAAGTTGACATTCATAATATTTCGTCTTATCCCTCAATATCAACTTCTATAGGCCTCTCAAGAACCCCCTCATGAAGAAGCTTTTCAATAATGTTTGTTTACTTATTCGGTGAGCCCCGCACAGTAACGATTAAGCTATTTGGCAACGACCAGTAAATAATAGAATCATGACAGGGCAATCAATAAATAACTGAGCTTGTTACTTAAATGAACAAAAGGTTTTCAGTCTACAGCGGTTTTGGCTCTACTACAATTCATTACACGAAGAAAAAGCATCTTCTGGAGTGAGTGAGTGAGTTTAGTTTTACGCCCCACTCAGCAATATTCCAGCTATATGGTGGCGGTACATCTTCTGGAAAGTGAATGGTCGACGGCTGAATTCCCCGTAATGTCAAAGCAACCTTCGATAGGAGGCGATACTTGTTATCCTGGCGCGGTATTGTGACGATAGAGCAAGAACTGTTATGCAAGAAGTCAGTGTAGTGTTTCTGATTCGGGCATTCATGTTACGAGGCGTTTGTGTGAGGCCCATTTCTGGTGTCTATCATATTGCTCCATTCTATGGACCCGCGGTTAGAGCGTCTACCGTCAGGGCAGTAGGTCGGTAGTTCCATCCCACCAGCGTTTTAACCAAAAATGTTAAAATTCGGTACTTGTTGTCACCCTGCCTTGCGCTGGGCGTTGAGAGTATATAACTAGGACTGGTGAAAACGGAGTGAAAACACTTTGTCTGTATACACATTAGTCAACGGTATAGTATCTTTGTGGGATAGGGCTAAACAACAGAATGTGTTCGAAGTACGAAGAATAAATACTCACGCAATCACATACAAGTCACACCATATGGAGATTATCAATTACCAGGTCGATTATCAGCAATATTTCAGCAACATCATTGCAGCGAACACAAGAAAACAGATTTACTGATTGTTATGTCTGAAATGAAAGCGGGGTTTCGGCGGGACGATCGAACGCATTTGGGGAATGGTATATAAAATATAATAAATTCCCTATACGATCATAGTTAAAGTCAGAATTCGGGAGCTTTGCACATCTCGTCTCTTTGGCGTGTCAGGACGATCTTACGTTTCAATGATTCAATAGACTACTTGATTCGCAATGAAATATTATTGTGCTAAAAACATGTTTACATGTTGATTAATAAGTTTTAATCGATTAGCGTTGACGGAGGAAACTGGATCGAAGTCAATTTAAACGATTTTCCATCTATGTTAGTTTCATATAAAAAACGATTTACGTCGAAACGTGGACTCTTCGATTTTATGTTTTAAAAGGCTTGACTAGGAAGTACTATTCTAATCCAACAGACCCGTGAAGATCCGGGGTAGAATAGGTCTTCAGCAACCCATGCTTGCCACTAAAGGCGACTATGCTTGTCGTAAGAGGCGACTAACGGGATCGGGTGGTCAGGCTTGCTGACTTGGTTGATACATTCCTAAGTGCGCAGGTCGAACCTGATGCTGTTGATCACTGGATTGTCAGGTCCTGACTCGATTATTTACAGACCGCCGCCATATAGCTGGAATATTGCTGAGTGCGGCGTAAAACTAAACTCACTCAATCACTCACTCTAATCCAATAATTGACATTTGTGAATGTAATCTGTCAATGATACCCGTATCGCTCCGCAAGCTACGTGCATACAAACATGTCGCCTCCTGACTCTCCGATGCGGATGTTTGATAGCAAAGTATTTTTGTGTGTTCGAATTATGCACATTTTCCTTGTTCCCACTTCTATTGGCAAGTTTCTTTGTACTTATATCATATGACTACAAAGCATCACACCACCAGCATTAAAAATCAGACAATGGTTAACATGATGTAAATTGTATTTTCCTCATCAAACAATTGTATATTGACCCATTCAAACGTAACACTTTCAGTGAAAATCTTTCAGGATCCCGTTACAGGGGGATGTATATTAAATCTGTGACTGTGATTTGGAAACCCCAAGTATTTGAATGCGCGGTAGAATACGATAATGAATATGAAAGTGGTTTGTATGAACGTTTAAATCGTTGCTGTTGGGCAATGTGCCGTTTCAAAACTAGGGATATTGAGTGCAAAATAACAACCTTGCAACGCTTCGATGGATACAGATTCTTGTACCGTTGTCAAGCGGGAGACAACGGTACAAGAATCTTATCGAAATGTCAATAAAATAAGTTGTTATCCATAAGTTTGTCATTGTTGTACTTCCCAACTTTTAAACGGCCACTCAAAGTAGCCAATCAGATTACCACGTTGAAATGTTAAAGGTTCAGAAAAATCTCAGATATTTAGATCTGTAAAACTTTGCAGATGCGTTAATCATCAAGTATATACTGAGATATAAAGAAACTAAACCTCTCAGTTGCGTGCTGAGATTGAATATGTCTCAGATTACTTTTATTATTTCCACATATATTAACTGTACGGTGCTTATCCCTTCGACGTGTTTTCTGGCCGAATGTGTATACTGAACAAAACAAGGAACTTCAAATTTGGAGAAAGGAATAACATTGAAACTGGGTAGTGCAAGGTAGTAGTATGGCACTGGGGCTCCGGCTGCAATTGCCTTGGAAGGTTAATTAAAATGTAATTCCAGCCTAGCAGCTAATGAAAAAATGGTGTTATAAGAATCTCATTTTCGCTAGGGTAACCCTTTTCTTCAGCAACCACAAACCCCATACCAAGACAAGTTGCAAAACACTGGCACCAAGGTTTAAGGTAGATCTTTGATGAGATCTTTGTTCTTGGTAAGAAAGGTTTGAATAATTTGTTGTCTGCCTTGTTCGGTTAATATTGTTTTCTCCTTTTCGCTGATGTCAGCGGTTTTCCTACACTGGGTTCGAATCTCTTCTTTCATCCGGTGGTACTTTGCAAATTTAGACATTATAAGAATCTCATTTTCGCTAGGGAAACCCTTTTTCCAAAAACCACAAATCCCATACCAAGACAGGTTGCAAAACACTGGCACCAAGGTTGCTCGAACTTCCATTTAGACATATGGAGTTGCTACAGTATACAATATACATTCCGACAACAACAACTATGGCAAAACAAATTTCAGCAACTTTCCAAGAAATGGGCATTTAACCTCCTACTGGAAAACACGCACGACAACAACCTCGTGTCCGATATCTTGACGGTAGACTATCTCGCCGGAAATCTCGGGGAAACCCACCTGCAACCACTCTCCGGTCTTCCAGCCTTTGTCGACGACCTCTACGTGTTTGGCAATCTATCTCACAAAGACATTGTGCAGCACAATGGAAGCGTCCAGTGTACGACGGGAGAGCATGGCCACAAGAAAAAAATCGTTGGACTACTTCACTGGATACTAGGCACCACCTACAAAGAGTATACCGAAGCAACCAAAATGTATGCGACACTTCTCCACATGTTGCAAAAGACGAGTGCAGAAGCTATTGCCAGCTCGATCCAAAAGATCAAAAGCGAAACCCAGCAGAAATTGCTCCGAGCATGGAAAGCCCAAAACGACAACGAAAACCCTTTTGCAGTCTTCGTGGCCAAAGTGGACGTTTCCGAAATCGCGATCGACCGACTCCAAGAGAACTTGTCCAATCTAGAAACAAAACAACAAGGCAACGGACTAGGGATCTACAGCATCGACTACACCCCAGACTATTCCGGCGTCATAGACCTCAAACAGCTCGTGCAATTCCTCTGTAGCCAACATGGATTTGTTGAACAAGGCGATCTCGTGGAAGCTATTGAAAGTGGAAAACCCACCATCCTGGACGACACCCACTCGGTTGGCAACCATGCTTGCACGTGGGTAGAGACAACAAAGTCTGGCAAAACAATGCGCACCAAGCTGTACAACAAAGTCGTTTGCAACTTCGAAGTCAGAGAAAATCCGAGAACCGATTGGTGGCCATTTTGCCGACTACGTAGATTTCCAAACGAGCATATCCGCAAAAGCTTTCTCCACCCAGACGTACAACAACTAGGTTGCAATCGCATAGAAGTGTCGCTGTATGCCTGTCAAGACACCGACATGTCCACCAACAGAGCAGAGAACGTTTTGCAAGACGTGTTGGAGTGGGTTTCGCCAGCAGGCGACGGTCTATTCGTAGTACAACCACCAGCAACACAGTGGCTTCGTCTTGCAGAAAAGATAGACAGCTGTTTGGTCTTAACCGACCGTCCACAGCAAACGATCTTGATCGCGTAGTACGCACATTCTAAAATGGGCCACGTGTCCGGAGTACACATTCGTCCAAGCAACACAGAATCCTGGGACAAAACCATCCACTTGGCCATCGGAGACTTCGGTTTTCGAAGGGTGCCAATATTCCGCATGGACATCCTATCGGTAGAAGGAGATACAGTGGAACTAGGCCCACGCTGATGCTATGCCAAAGGCAAGGACACCAAGACGGTGCTAGCTGCCAGCAAGAAGCCAACAGCTCTACATCCATCCGGCATGCATCCAGACAGATATCTCCTGACAGCTCCACACATCGAATGGCAATGGAGACAGAAAAAATGCCAAAACCTGGGCAGAGAAGGATCCGACCAAAATTTCCAAGAAATGCCAAACATAGCGGCCAATCGCAAAATTTCTACTCTGTCTACACAAACACAAGGAAGGAAATTGCTGGAGCTACTGGAGTCAGAGAAGGCAGAAAATTGGCAACGAAGAGCCGAAAAAGCACTACAAAAGGAAATAAAAATCCGGGAACAATGAGCAGAACTACACAAAAAGGAGATTGAAGCTTTGCAAGATAGTTTTGCATAAGCCACAGCTTACATAAAAAACCAAAGACAATCCCAACTGCTTGTAGAAAATGCTCTCCGCAATATGGATACAAACAAAGTATGGGCAATTACCGACCGAAACGGCATTCTAAGCTTCCGAACCACCAACAGTTCCACATGCATCGTCCTCCAATCGCCAACAGGCGAAACGAGCCCTCTTTGGACTACGGCAGGGCTAGAAAGAGTACTACAACAACACGACTCCTACTTCGAGAGAATGAAGACAGACTGTTTCGAGCGACAAACATATTAGTTGGTAGAAAAGGATTTCTCTCGAGACAAAGTGTACGAACACACCCTGCAAATCTAGATCGAATCCTCCGAAAGATCATTCTTTGACAAAACTGGCAAAGAGATTTGTTGGAAGAAAATACAGGTAGTGGCATCTCCTATGGGAAAGGAGTATTTGGACGAGCACAGGGAATAGAGAACATGTCGGAGTACGAAGCATATCTAGAACTACAAAAGGCTAGGAAATCCATCGCCCAGGTATCTTCACCAAAACACCCGCTATCCAAAAATGTGTCGACTTTTCAGCAGGGATCTATGCCATTCACAGGTTTGCAACACAGATATATCATGGGGCCGAGCAAACTATCATGTATCTCCAAGCGCTGGACGAAAATGGAGCGCCCAAAGATGATGTAGACAGCCGACAGCAAATAGTCTAGTCTTGCCCCAATTGTATAGTTTTCTAGACAGACCCTCCGACAGCTCGCCTAGTATATTTGCAGATGCACAATCACGGGCTTGGGGTTGCAAAGGACGAATGGACTTGTCTAGGCTCGTTTTCGTATTCCAACTACTTTTCGTCGAATTCTTGGTACGGAAAGTAGGGCGCACACCTGGCCGAAAAAAACAAACGCATCGTTCATATAGCCTACTACAATACTTTTTTTCCAAATAGGCTGCATTCCACATGGTATACAAACCATGCGTTTGTCTTTTTGGGGCCGGGCGTGTGCCCTACTTTCCGTACCACGAATTCAACAAAAAGCAGTTGGAATACGAAAACGGGCCTAGACAAGTCTATGACTCCATTCGTCCTTTGCAACCCCAAGCCCGTGATTGTGCATCTGCAAAAAATACTAGGCGAGCTGTCGGAGGGTCTCTCTAGAAAACTATACAATTGGGGCAAGACTAGACTAATTGCTGTTGGCTGTGGAAACAGTCTGTCGACTTGTACTTCTAGAGGTGGTGTTGTGTTGTAGTTTCTATTCGTACGATTGTAGCATTCTTTTTGTTTGGTGTTGTGCTAATTGGCCCTAGACTACATAGAGCTGGGCTTTGCTTTGTCGACAGATCTATATCCGCTACGGCACTGTACATCCAATATCCTCGTACGGGAATGTCTACATCGTTTTTGGGCGCTCCATTTTTGTCCAGCGCTTGGAGATACAGGATAGTTTGCTCGGCCCCATGATACATCTGTTTTGCAAACCTGAGGATGGCATAGATCCCTTCTTTCTAGATATTCTTCGTATTCCGACATGTTCTCTATTTCCTCTATCTTCCTGTGCTCGTCCAGATACTCCTTTCCCATAAGAGATGCCACTACCTGTATTTTCTTCCAACGAATCTCTTTGCCGGTTTTGTCGAAGAATGATCTTTCGGAGGATTCGATCTAGATTTGCAGGGTTTGTTCGTACACTTTGTCTCAAGAGAAATCCTTTTCTACCAACTAATATGTTTGTCGTCCAAGATATTTTTATGGATTAAACTTCTTTTTTAATTTCTCTCACGACGTTTCGAGACCATTCCAGGTCGTGAGAGAAATTAAAAAAGAAGTTTAATCCATAAAAATATCTTGGACATCAATGTACAACTTCTAAATGCCACTGAAAGACATAATATGTTTGTCGCTCGAAACAGTCTGTCTTCATTCTCTCGAAGTAGGAGTCGTGTTGTTGCAGTACTCTTTCTAGCCCCGCCGTAGTCCAAACAGGGCTCGTTTTGCCTGTTGGCGATTGGAGGACGATGCATGTGGAACGGATGATGGTTCGGAAGCCTTGAATGCCGTTTCGGTCGGTTATTGCCCATTTGTATCCGTGTTGCGGAGAGCATTTTCTACAAGCAGCTGGGATTGTCTTCAATTTTGGATGTATGCTGTGGCTTATGCAAAACTATCTTGCAAAGCTTCGATCTCCTTTTTGTGTAGTTCTGCTCGTTGTTCCCGGATTTTTATTTCCTTTTGTAGTGCCTTTTCGGCTCTTCGTTGCCAATTTTCTGCCTTCTCTGACTCCAGTAGCTCCAGCAATTTCCTTCCTTGTGTTTGTGTAGACAGAGTAGAAATTTTGCGATTGTCATAGCATCAGCGTGGGCCTAGTTCCACTGTATCTCCTTCTACCAATAGGATGTCCACGCAGAATATTGGAACCCTTCGAAAACCGAAGTTTCATATGGCCCAGTGGATGGTTTTGTCCCAGGATTCTGTGTTGCTTGGACGAATGTGTACTCCGGACACGCGGCCCATTTTAGAATGTGCGTACCACGCGATGAAGATTGTTTGCTGTGGACGGTCGGTTAAGACCAAACAGCTGTCTATCTTTTCTGCGAGATGAAGCCACTGCTTGGCTGGTGGTTGTACTACGAATAGACCTTCGCCTGCTGGCGAAACCTGCTCCAACACGTCTTGCAAAACGTTCTCTGCTCTGTTGGTGGACATGACAGTGTCTTGGCAGGCATACAGCGACACTTCTATGCGATTGCAACCTCGTTGTTGTACGTCTGGGTGGAGAAAGCTTTTGCGGATATGCTCGTTTGGACAATGTACATAGTTGACAAAAAGGCCACCAATCGGTTCTCGGGTAAATTTTGGTTGCTTCGGTATACTCTTTGTAGGTGGAGCCTAGCATCCAGTGGAGTAGTCCAACGATTTTTTTCGTGTGACCGTGCTTTCCCGACGTACACTGGACGCTTCCATTGTGCTGCACAATGTCATTGCGAGATAGATAGCCAAACACGTAGAGGTCGTCGACAAAGGCTGGAAGACCGGAGAGTGGTTGCAGGTGGGTTTCCCCGAGATTTCCGGCGAGATAGTCTACCGTCAAGATATCGGACATGAGTTTGTTGTCATACGTGTTTTCCAGTAGGAGGTGGTGTGCGATCGATTTGCTGCATCGAATGCCCATTTCTTGGAAAGTTGCTGAAATTTGTTTTGCCATAGTTGTTGCTGTCGGAGTGTATATTGTATACTGTAGCAACTTCATATGTCTAATTGGAAGTTCGAGCAACCTTGGTGCCAGTGTTTTGCAACCTGTCTTGGTATGGGGTTTGTGGTTGCTGAAAAAAAGGGTTGGCTTAGCGAAAATGAGATTCTTATAATGTCTGAAATTACCACCGGATGAAAGAAGAGATTCGAACCCAGTGTAGGAAAACCGCTGACATCCGCGAAAAGGAGAAAAACATATTAATCGAACAAGGCAGACAAAAGATTATTCAAACCTTCCTTACCAAGAACAAAGATCTCATCAAAGATTAACCTTAAACTGTTTTATAGATATCAATAGAACAGATTAACTATAATGATGAGCCCCATCCACAAAAAAATTAAGATATACAGATGGAAAACCAACATGCGTACAAAACATTTAACACCATTTTTTTCATTAGCTGCTGGGCTGGAATTACATTCTAATTAACCTTCCAAGGCAATTGCGACTGGAGCCCCAGTGTCATACTACTAAGGTAGTTGACATGAGCGAACACCATAAAGGCCAGGTTAAACCAAACACATCCCCTCATTTCAACAGTGGTGAACCACGCGGGGTGCATGCAGCACCTACTTTCGTGAAAACTCGTGCTCGGTCATGTGACCTCTATAGCATGTGCAGACCAGGAACGTGGTTATTATCCATACCAAACGAAACCGCTTGCGTGCTTCCCATCTACGTGCCCGGCGTTCTTATGTTGGGCCGATTCTGACATAGGTAAACCGTAATAAACAGCTGAGTTGACACGGAGTCTTGAAAATGCGGGTATTGACGTCATGGAGTGTCCATTGAGATCACGTGATCTCAACGCTCACTAACCACGTATGGGATGCTCTTGGAAGAAGCCTTCGTGCCTTGAGACGTCGACCCAAGAATGTTCAAGCAATGGCACAGGTTGCCTGATGTTGTGTTAGGCAGTCAGTGAGAGACCGTTGTCTTGCTGAGGGAATGCTAGAATGGTCCATACGCGGTACTGAACAAGCTCAAGAACCATATATCTAGTCCCTGTGAAATCAAAAGGTGACACCAACGAGCAAAAAGGTGTCCCCTGAGGAGAGTCCACCAAGCGCATCTTTATGCCTAATCCTAAGTACACCCTCATTATGCCCAGAGACCAGATTTATCCACTAGCAACACGCTTTGTTTTATATGGGTATGTTTAGGACATAGAGTAATACATCTGATTTTTCATTTTTCTTAAGTGTATTTATAAAAACCTTTGGACAAATACTGTTCCGCTTAATACCAAACTTCGGACGGGTATCATAGATATCTTGCAAAGTAGATATCTACATATTTAGTATTTACAGACAACCATCATGCAACATAGACCTCACTATATAGCACAGGAATACGTTTTACCAACATGCTGGTTACGCAATGGGAAATTGCGAAACAATTTCAGGGATATTCGTTAATTTCGTCTCTACCAAATTAAAACCGCTACCTGAGCTCATTTGAATCGGCATTTCTATTTTTGCCCATCCGTGTCGACAGAGCCACACCCCATAGTCCCGGAGTTCCTGGAAAGGCTGAATTGTGAGGGTAACCTGTCGTGTCTCTGTCGTCGTGGAGAGGCTGTAGTAGGGATCCGTGGAGTTACAGTTTTCATCACTCAGAGAGCATGTTCCCACCACCGTGTCGTTCAGCTCGAACTCCACGGCCGATGGCGAAGACGAGTCAAGCGAACAGGTCAGGTTTAATGGCATGTCGTCGACAGCGATGCGTCGATCCATCGTTAGAGTGATAGCTGAAAATGAAGACATTTCGAATCTTAATGAAACAGAAAATAAATTACATTGACAGTGATACCAGAATCCCTCATCACACGGTTTTGAAACTAGAAAAGACTGAGGTGTTTTTTTGCGTTTGATTTGAATCCAGTGTCAAAACAGAAGTCCCAGAAATATAATGTCTCGACGGGAGTCTTCACATGTATCCTATCAGTTGGTTGATCGTGAAGCCAGTACGTTCCGGTTGATGTAGTAACATTAGACTTAACAGAGCCTCACAGGAGATATAGCACGGGTAACCCTGCTAGGTCTGACAGGTAGTCTGGGGGAATGTAGCAGAAACCACTCGATACTGTCCAGTCTGACCACATGAACCCTTTAATCTCACCACCCAAACCCTTTAATCTTACCACCCGATACCCTTTAATCTCACCACAGGATACTGTCAAGTCTGACGACAATACACTATAAAACACGGGCTATAGATCGCCAACAACTGACGGTATATCAACCTAACTAGGGACCATGGGGACTTACAGTACCTTTGCTACCTACATGGACCCTAGTTGGATTTACACCATCCTATCAAATGTTAGCGATTGTAGACAAGTCTAGCCATAAGATAAACTGACATATATACTGCAGTTAAAATAATAGTAAGTTTGAAATTTACTTTGAAAGTTTTAGGACTTACGTACCCTCGCAGGGGGCTATAATTTTATAATACTTTAACCCCCTTCGAGGTCACAGCCACTAACAATCTCAGGTGTTAATTTAGACTCCTAATCATAAAACATTCTACCATTTACACAACGTTAATCAACATTTATCTTAAAACTCTATTTCTTTTTAAAAAAAAAGCAATAATTAAATCATAATTTACACTAAAAATATCCTTCAATGTTTTGACATTAAAATACTTATCCCTTATGATGGAAAAAATCAATACAGTCAAGCAAGACATGCTTGACCGTAATTCTTTCATCACAAGGGATGCAAAAACCTTATAACGAGCAGAACAAGGGCGAAAACCAAATGAGTAGATCACCATTGCAAAGATTAAAATAAGAATGTCTCGTGTTGTTGTATTGAGAATTACAACACAAATTGCTTCTATCGCAACAGTGAACTAGTGAGTGAGTGAGGATTTACGCCGCGTGTAGCAATATTCCAGCAACATCACGGCAGGGGACACCAGAAATGTGCTTCACACATTGTACCCATGTAAGGAATCGAACCCTGGTATTGGGCGTGACGGGCGTTGGCTTTAACCACAAAGCTACCCCACAGCCCCCTCTGTCTCAACAGTCAACACAAGTACATACATGTATCTATACAGACCTGACGAAGCAGTCAGTATGCCAAGCAGACAGAAAGCCAGTAGTGGTTCGGTTGGGACCATCTTGTTGTGTGCATCGCACAGTAGTTCTAAGCAGGAAGTAAGACACACAGTGTCACGTGTTACGAGTTTCCTGGTACGATCTGTTCCACTCGGCTGCTTCCTTTCAAGCGAGTCCCGATCTGTTCCACTCGGCTGCTTCCTTTCAAGCGAGTCCCGGTCCCAGATCGAATTCCATGCTGGGCTAGAATCCCGAATTCTCTTTTTTAAAGATAACTATAACTTTTCACACCTCTGCTTGTTGGTTTGACCAAAATGTTGATAAGCATTCACTTTCATCGATTTAGGTTCAACCACGTTAAGCCCTCAAGCCATAATAAATTTACATGCGCAATATTGCTTAACTAGGTTTTCCACCCAGCTCAAAGGGTTTTTATTAATAACAAATTATGAGAAATATTTATATACAACGGGCGAATCTTAAAACAACATGGTCTAAAGTAAATTCAGTTCCTATGATACCCATCGATGTCAGTTTTATCTATTTTCGGTTCATCAAAATTATTTTTGGGCGGTGGGGTAGCCGAGTGGTTAAAGCGTTGGCTCGTCACGCCGAAGACCCGGGTTCGATTCCCCACATGGGCACAATGTGTTGAGCCCATGTCTGGTGTCCCCCGCCGTGATATTGCTGGAATATTGCTCTAAGCGGCGTAAAAACTAAACTCAGTCAGTCATAATTATTTTTGCCTTTTTTCAAAATAAGTTAATCTATATGTTAAAGGCCAGTGATAAACTAAAACAACATGATAATGAATGTGATGGGATATAATACAAACACGAGGAGGCCAGTGATAAACTAAAACAACATGATAATGAATGTGATGGGATATAATACAAACATGGAAGAGGCCAGTGATAAACTAAAACAACATGATAATGAATGTGATGGGATATAATACAAACACGAGGAGGCCAGTGATAAACTAAAACAACATGATAATGAATGTGATGGGATATAATACAAACATGAGGAGGCCAGTGATAAACTAAAACAACATGATAATGAATGTGATGGGATATAATACAAACATGAGGAGGCCAGTGATAAACTAAAACAACATGATAATGAATGATAATGATGTGATGGGATATAATACAAACACGAGGAGGCCAGTGATAAACTAAAACAACATGATAATGAATGTGATGGGATATAATACAAACACGAGGAGGCCAGTGATAAACTAAAACAACATGATAATGAATGTGATGGGATATAATACAAACACAGGGGGAGGCCAGTGATAAACTAAAACAACATGATAATGAATGTGATGGGATATAATACAAACATGAGGAGGCCAGTGATAAACTAAAACAACATGATAATGAATGTGATGGGATATAATACAAACACGAGGAGGCCAGTGATAAACTACTAAAACAACATGATAATGAATGTGATGGGATATAATACAAACACGAGGAGGCCAGTGATAAACTAAAACAACATGATAATGAATGTGATGGGATATAATACAAACACGAGGAGGCCAGTGATAAACTAAAACAACATGATAATGAATGTGATGGGATATAATACAAACACGAGGAGGCCAGTGATAAACTAAAACAACATGATAATGAATGTGATGGGATATAATACAAACACGAGGAGGCCAGTGATAAACTAAAACAACATGATAATGAATGTGATGGGATATAATACAAACACGAGGAGGCCAGTGATAAACTAAAACAACATGATAATGAATGTGATGGGATATAATACAAACATGAGGAGGCCAGTGATAAACTAAAACAACATGATAATGAATGTGATGGGATATAATACAAACACGAGGAGGCCAGTGATAAACTAAAACAACATGATAATGAATGTGATGGGATATAATACAAACACGAGGAGGCCAGTGATAAACTAAAACAACATGATAATGAATGTGATGGGATATAATACAAACACGAGGAGGCCAGTGATAAACTAAAACAACATGATAATGAATGATGTGATGGGATATAATACAAACATGAGGAGGCCAGTGATAAACTAAAACAACATGATAATGAATGTGATGGGATATAATACAAACATGAGGAGGCCAGTGATAAACTAAAACAACATGATAATGAATGTGATGGGATATAATACAAACACGAGGAGGCCAGTGATAAACTAAAACAACATGATAATGAATGTGATGGGATATAATACAAACACGAGGAGGCCAGTGATAAACTAAAACAACATGATAATGAATGTGATGGGATATAATACAAACACGAGGAGGCCAGTGATAAACTAAAACAACATGATAATGAATGTGATGGGATATAATACAAACACGAGGAGGCCAGTGATAAACTAAAACAACATGATAATGAATGTGATGGGATATAATACAAACATGAGGAGGCCAGTGATAAACTAAAACAACATGATAATGAATGTGATGGGATATAATACAAACACGAGGAGGCCAGTGATAAACTAAAACAACATGATAATGAATGTGATGGGATATAATACAAACACGAGGAGGCCAGTGATAAACTAAAACAACATGATAATGAATGTGATGGGATATAATACAAACACGAGGAGGCCAGTGATAAACTAAAACAACATGATAATGAATGTGATGGGATATAATACAAACACGAGGAGGCCAGTGATAAACTAAAACAACATGATAATGAATGTGATGGGATATAATACAAACATGAGGAGGCCAGTGATAAACTAAAACAACATGATAATAAATGTGATGGGATATAATACAAACATGAGGAGGCCAGTGATAAACTAAAACAACATGATAATGAATGTGATGGGATATAATACAAACACGAGGAGGCCAGTGATAAACTAAAACAACATGATAATGAATGTGATGGGATATAATACAAACACGAGGAGGCCAGTGATAAACTAAAACAACATGATAATGAATGTGATGGGATATAATACAAACATGAGGAGGCCAGTGATAAACTAAAACAACATGATAATGAATGTGATGGGATATAATACAAACACACGAGGAGGCCAGTGATAAACTAAAACAACATGATAATGAATGTGATGGGATATAATACAAACACGAGGAGGCCAGTGATAAACTAAAACAACATGATAATGAATGTGATGGGATATAATACAAACACGAGGAGGCCAGTGATAAACTAAAACAACATGATAATGAATGTGATGGGATATAATAATACAAACACGAGGAGGCCAGTGATAAACTAAAACAACATGATAATGAATGTGATGGGATATAATACAAACACGAGGAGGCCAGTGATAAACTAAAACAACATGATAATGAATGTGATGGGATATAATACAAACACGAGGGAGGCCAGTGATAAACTAAAACAACATGATAATGAATGTGATGGGATATAATACAAACACGAGGAGGCCAGTGATAAACTAAAACAACATGATAATGAATGTGATGGGATATAATACAAACATGAGGAGGCCAGTGATAAACTAAAACAACATGATAATGAATGTGATGGGATATAATACAAACACACGAGGAGGCCAGTGATAAACTAAAACAACATGATAATGAATGTGATGGGATATAATACAAACATGAGGGAGGCCAGTGATAAACTAAAACAACATGATAATGAATGTGATGGGATATAATACAAACACGAGGAGGCCAGTGATAAACTAAAACAACATGATAATGAATGTGATGGGATATAATACAAACATGAGGAGGCCAGTGATAAACTAAAACAACATGATAATGAATGTGATGGGATATAATACAAACACGAGGAGGCCAGTGATAAACTAAAACAACATGATAATGAATGTGATGGGATATAATACAAACACAGGGCCAGGATAAACTAGTGATAATAAAACAAAACAACATGATAATGAATGTGATGGGATATAATACAAACATGAGGAGGCCAGTGATAAACTAAAACAACATGATAATGAATGTGATGGGATATAATACAAACATGAGAGGCCAGTGATAAACTAAAACAACATGATAATGAATGTGATGGGATATAATACAAACACGAGGAGGCCAGTGATAAACTAAAACAACATGATAATGAATGTGATGGGATATAATACAAACATGAGGAGGCCAGTGATAAACTAAAACAACATGATAATGAATGTGATGGGATATAATACAAACAAACAGGAGGAGGCCAGTGATAAACTAAAACAACATGATAATGAATGTGATGGGATATAATACAAACACGAGGAGGCCAGTGATAAACTAAAACAACATGATAATGAATGTGATGGGATATAATACAAACACGAGATACAAACACGAGGAGGCCAGTGATAATAAACTAAAAAACATGATAATGCGATGTGATGGGATATAATACAAACACAGGAGGCCAGTGATAAACTAAAACAACATGATAATGATGTGATGGGATATAATACAAACACGAGGGAGGCCAGTGATGGCATTCCCTTAAAGTATGGTACTTGTTGGTCCCTGCCTGGCGCTCGGCATTAATGGGTACAACGAGGACTGGTCGGCTCGGAGTCAGTATAATGTGGCTGAGTGGGGTATTCATGCTTCACTGCGGTCTGGTAGCATCAGTGAGCTAGCACTATAAAACCAGCTTCAGTCTGGGCTAGTACAAGAAGCCGCACATACACATACCCACGCATGCACGTCGTCATATGAGCGAAATATTCTCAAGACTTTTGACAAGGTTTGGCATAAGGGAATCATAGCGAAATTAGAAGCTTATGGTATTAAGGTTAGTTACTTGATTGGTTTTCCAGTTATCTTGACAATACATTACAGAGAGTAGTTATAGACAATTCCAATTCAGATCTAAAGAAAGTCACTGCTTAGGTGCCACAAGGATCTGTCCTTGGGCCATTACTGTTTTTAGTTTACATAAATGATATCATTGAGGGTATCAGTAGAAACATTCGTCTTTTTGCCGATGATACTTCGGTATATGTTATTGTTGATAATCATGTTGTTACTGCCGCTTCCTTAAATAATGACCTAAACAGGATCTCTCACTGGGCTGAAATATGGCAGGTTAGCTTTAATC